GATGCACTGCGTGCTAATAGAACCGTCCTTAGGGCAGCAGAGCGGAAATGGTGGAAATCCAAACACCGTGACGACCTCCTAACCTATCAAGCTCTCCTCTCCTCTTTCTCTGCTTCGATCTCTCAGGCAAAAAGCACTTTCTTTCAAGATAAGATCCAATCTTCCTATTCCAATCCTAAAAAACTATTTTCCATCTTCTCCACCCTCTTGGACCCTCCAAAGCTCCTCCCCCCTCCTCACTTCTGTCAAGCGACTTTGTTACCCACTTTGAAAAAAAGGTTAATGATATTCGCTCTTCTTTTTCTGACTCACCTTTACTCACCGCTGGGTCACCAGACCTTCCTTCCACCAACACACTAACCTCCTTTTCCCCTCTCTCTCCAAGTGAGGTTCTTACCCTCATTACCTCTGCCCGCCCTACCACCTGTCCTCTGGACCCTATCCCTTCAAACCTCCTTCAGACTATCGCTCCTGATATTCTACCGTTTCTCACCCATTTCATCAACACTTCTCTAACTTCTGGTCACTTTCCAAACAGTCTCAAGGAGGCAAGAGTAAACCCTCTCCTAAAGAAACCCACTCTCAACCCGTCTGATGTTATAAACTACAGGCCTGTCTCTCTCCTCCCGTTCCTGTCTAAATCACTTAAACGCGCTGTCTTTAAACAACTCTCCTGTTATCTCAATCAGAACAACCTTCTGGATCCGCACCAGTCTGGTTTCAAGGCAGGTCACTCCACAGAAACTGCTCTCATTGCTGTCACGGAGGAACTGCACACTGCCAAAACTGCATCCCTCTCCTCTGTCATCATCCTGTTGGACCTGTCTGCTGCATTCGACACGGTGAATCATCAGATCCTCCTTCGCACTCTCCAAAAACTTGGAGTTTCAGGCTCTGCACTTTCCCTCCTCACCTCATACCTCAAAGACCATACCTACAGGGTGACTTGGAGAGGGTCTGAGTCCGACCCTTGTCAATTAACTACGGGGGTCCCTCAGGGCTCTGTTCTTGGTCCCCTCCTCTTCTCCTTGTACACAAACTCGCTCGGATCAGTCATTAGCCCGCATGGTTTTTCTTACCACTGCTACGCTGACGACACCCAATTAATTCTGTCCTTTCCCCGCTCAGAGACCCAGGTCGTCGCACGCATCTCTGCTTGTCTAGCTGACATCTCTCAGTGGATGTCTGCTCACCACCTCAAGCTCAACCTTGACAAGACTGAGCTGCTCTTCCTCCCGGGAAAAGATTGTCCAACTCTTGACCTGACAATCAACATCGGCACCTCAGTTGTTTCCCCGACTCAGACTGCAAGGAATCTGGGTGTGACCCTAGATAACAACCTGTCCTTCACTGCAAACATCGCTGCTACAACCCGCTGCTGCAGATACACGCTTTACAACATCAGGAAGATACGTCCCCAGCTGACTCAGAAAGCGACTCAGGTTCTGGTCCAGGCTCTCGTCATCTCACGCCTAGACTACTGCAACTCCCTCCTGGCTGGTCTACCTGCATGTGCCATCCGACCTCTGCAGCTCATCCAGAATGCAGCGGCTCGTCTGGTCTTCAACCTTCCTAAATTCTCCCACACCACTCCGCTCCTCCGCTCCCTTCACTGGCTTCCGGTAACTGCTAGAATCCACTTCAAGACACTGGTACTTGCTTACCGTGCTGCGAATGGATCTGGCCCTTCCTACATCCAGGACATGGTTAAACCGTACACCCCAGCGCGTGCACTACGCTCTGCATCAGCCAAACGACTCGTTGCGCCCTCGCTGCGAGGGGGACCCAAGTTCCCATCGGCGAAAACACGTGGGTTTGCTATCCTGGCTCCAAGATGGTGGAATGAGCTCCCCATTGACATCAGGACGGCAGATAGCTTGCTCATCTTCCGGCGCAAACTGAAAACTCATCTCTTTCGACTCCACTTCGAGCGTTAGAACGATTAACGAAGCACTTTTATACCAATAAAGGACTGGATTACCTAAAGCCAGTTGAGTAGCACTTGAAATGTTTGGCTCTATGAAACCTGATATACTTATATGATTCTGTTTTCTTCAAGGTTGTGTCTTCCTGGTCGAATGTACTTATTGTAAGTCGCTTTGGACAAAAGCGTCAGCTAAATGCAATGTAATGTAATAATGTAATGTATAAAAACGACCCTCGAAAGTGGCCTTCGTCGATTTTGGCTGCATCTACGTCTAATTTCTGGAAACACCAGGTGAATACCCCACTTGTCACAATAATATTATCATGCCATTGCATATATGTGGTATTTTAGAGTTGACTAGATATTGATTAAGTCAATAGACTATGATATTCAGTACAGGAAGCTTAGCAACACCTAGACGGTGTACGGCTAAACCCTTGGCCTGCTTGCACCTCGCATAAAACGGCAGATACCGGAAGTACGGTGTCGCCCTCGGCCCAATACCCGTATGTGTGTGTGAAAGAATAATAAGAACCATATTACCCCTCCTGTACCCAGGACCGGTGACACGATGGAATCAAGAGAGCTCAGACCCTCACTTATATAGAGGTCGGAACATGTCATAAGTAAATAGATACAAGTATAAATACATGTAGGAATAAAAACATCAATAAATAAATACAGGAATAAATATCTTGCAGTGTTTTCAGGGAGCTGTGTGCTGTGGCTCAGCTGGAACGCAGTTGACTCATGACCGCAGGGTCCCTGGTTCAACGACTCAACAATACGTATTTTTTGTTGTTTATAAAAGCTACAGCTAAATGAGATAATGTAGTTAATAAATGTATTCTTTGATATGGTTTAGCCTTTCTCAGGCTACAACATGGTTAAGTTTACGAATATTATTAAGGAATACAAATCCCTCTTTGCAATGTTTACCAGCCTCCTTAGGCTTTTCAATCACAATAATTAAACTGGAATAAATACAATATTGTTAACATGAAAATATGATTTTATGTTCGTTGTTCAGAGTTATTCTAAGGCTTTACTCAATGGGAACTCGGTATGAGATAGAGCACACTGTTGAGATGTCCAATCTGCCTGTTTTACACACTTTGACCAACAGGGGGTTTGTGTTCAGATGAAGCCCATGATGAAGCCTCATGAGATGAACCCTTTTGCGAACCAATTGGCTGGAAAGCTTCAAAGCTTAATAAGGCTTCATCTCACCATCACTACATAAAACCAACTTAACTGCCGGCAAACTTTTATAACTTACATTCTACCGGACACCGGTCATGTGATCACGTCACGTGACAATGACGTCACATTCCCCACACATATATAAAGAAGCAGCCTGTCATTACTTGAAGCAAGCATCACGTTGGCCTCTTTCAATCGTAGTGGACACAAGATGGTGAGTTTACCTTCCTGCTTCGTGCGCTCTGAATAGGAATATGTTACACATCTTAAGCATCCGTTGGTTTAATTAAGTTTAGGAACATTGGATTACTTTTATGCAACATGTATACCAATAGAATGGATATATTTGTTTTCATTGTTTCAGTATTTACACTTACACCGGCTGCTTTCAAAATGGCAGTCAATAAAGGCCGCTACTTTATTTATACTTGAGTTATTCCCTTTTTAAACGACATATTCTACAATAATCCTGACGGATGTCAAATCTGGGTTCAATGGATCTTTTCTCCGCACTGTTCGTAACCTGGCTCTTCTTCAGTAGAGCTGTTGGTTCCATTCCAGTGCTATAGAGACCCCATTGAGGCAGGGGAGCAGTGGCTGTCTGTGCTTGCTCCCTGTTCACTCTCTGGAGACATCTGAATCTGAGCCCAATTGTATTTATTAAGTTTAAGAACATTGGTTTTCTTTTACGAAAAATGTATGCCAATAGCATGTATACATATTCGTGTTAAACTGTTTCCGCGTCTTCCTTTTGGTGTCCGACAAGTGTGCACATGTTAAGCTAGCCATGCTAACAGTGTGGTTAACTTTAATTACATTGACCTGTTGGAAGCAGAATATGTGACTCACTTTACTTGCTTTTTTAGGGTGGATTTGTCCACTATGGAGATGTGACCAATGAAGCGTCCTTGGGTTTCGTGAAAGGCGCTATATACATTATTATTATCATGGTCAGTGGCGGCGCCAGAGTATTTGTGTTGGGTAATCTATGATAGGGCTAACCCATACAGTGGTGGGGCTCAAGTCAGTATTTGTAATGTAATTACATACACGCTATATCTCACCCCTTGACAGTGAAACGCCACGCGTGAGGATTTTATTAGTCTCCTTTTAGCAGCTAAATTACATCGAGAGCAACAGGTGTGAGTTAAACAATACAATAACCTATTCTGCTAATTCCACGTTTTACAACATGCTACGCAGCGGCAGAAACAAGAAAAATTGGCATATAGAATTGGGAGAGAGAGAGAGAGACACAGGTAAACAGAGAGAGACACAGCACACAACAGGTGGCCTGTGTCTCTATTGTCATACAAAACACTTTTTCAAATGACCCATTATTACAAAATATATTCAAAATTCACTCTTCAGGTGGGTCGTGTGACTCTGGCACCTGTTCGACTTGTACCTCAATGCGAGGGCGTTTAAGAACAAATCTATCCATCCGAAATATACAATTAATCCTAGAAGTTCTGCTGTCTGTCTGCAATTTACTCTGCGCGAGTTTGGGGACTTTTCACTGTGAACGTGATGCATCAGTAATGCATGACGCAGCAGACCCAACGTTTCGTTGCTCTGATTGGCTGTAGTTCTGTTCAAATTGCATTCGGAGGCATTTTGATCTGACCGCGGCCGCGCTGATATTATAAAGCGAGAGAATTTCCACACCTTTAGTGTATAATACTCCCCCACTACTTAGACTATTCCTTGCACCCCTCTAGCATAAGCCCGAATGGTCTCAACCATATTGCATCAGTAACGTACACTTGTTGTTACAGCAGGATCAGTTTGTGTGTTGTGGACACGACCAGTAGATTTTCGCAATCCGTGTTCTCAACATGCTTACTTTAACATCATCTTTCAAGGTGGGGCTAAGCCATTTCTTGGTTTGGCTGTATCCTACCCCAGCCATACCCTGATCATGGTTAAAGGCTGTGTTGTGGGAGTCAAGAAGAGGGTGCTGACTCAGCGCAAGGTAAGGACAAATTGCAATGCTTCATATAAAACACGTTTGACTGTTGAGTGCCCCTGGTATAATTTAACTTGCTGAGGTGGGAGTCAATTATTCTAAAGAATATCTTAAAATAAAATCACTGACTTAGTTCCCAACACAAATGTTAAACTCTGTATCTTTTTATTTTGTATTCCCAGTCTCTGCTTGTGCAGACCAACCGTCGTGCCATGGAGAAGATCGACCTGAAGTTCATCGACACCACTTCCAAGTTTGGCCGCTTCCAGAGCGTGAAGGAGAAGAAGGCGTTAGTGGTAAGAGTTTGTACTGAAAGCTGTACAAAAGCATACCTTTGCATCACATTTATTTTCTTAGTCTCTAAGACCTTTATACTTATTTGTATGCACATTTTGCCAGCATACCATTTAAGAAGTCTTAATATCAATTAAGAATTTGGAAGCAATTTTATTTTCTCCGCACTGTTCGTAACCTGGCTCTTCTTCAGTAGAGCGGTTCCATTCCAGTGCTATAGAGACCCCATTGAGGCAGGGGAGCAGTGGCTGTCTGTGCTTGCTCCCTGTTCATTCTCTGGAGACATCTGGCTGCTCTGAGCCCACACATGGACTACATGTGCATCATTCTAAAGTATAGCCAAACAATTGATGGTCTCTTTCTTTGACCACTCAAGAAGGACCGTATCACCATCTTCAGCTCCAGCATAGCAGTGATCAGCAGGAGCAGCTTGGAGTCCACTTCATGCAGTAGCTGTGTCCACAGGGAATCGCCACCGGATCCTTCAGTAGCTCCAGACGGATCGGACAAGAGAAGGTTTCCCGGTCTAGAATGGATATATTTGTTTTAGTATTATTAGAGTATTCGTTGTTCCTGCGTCCCAGGAGAGAAGCTTAAAAGGTAAGAGACAATGGAGTCTCTGAGAAAGGTCAAATTGGTTACTTTAATTAAATGGCGTAGTAATGTAACAAACAGAAGATAGTCGGGAGAGAGAGGCTGCAGCTCCCTCTCGCAGTCCGGGTCGTGGAAAAGAGAGCGAGACCCGTTAGTTCCTCCCGCTTGGATCTCCCCCTCGCTCCTCCTCTCTGGGGGTTGTGACGTAATCTTCCGCCCTCCTTTCACCAATGTCCGATATCGAGTAAAACAGGATTTAGACGTAGTGTCTTCATTGTATAACTCCACATGCCTCTTCTCCGCATACTGTCTTTCATGACTTTTTATTCCATGCATTTTAACGGCTGCAATCGTTTGTAACACAAAGCCGGTAGCCAAGCTTACTGTTGCTATTTCAGAATAGCTTTTCAAAATAAACTTTAGCATCAACGTTAGCCACAGGCGAATGCTAACTGGAAATGTTTTCACAATAAAACAGTTTTAAGATTACTATATGTTGAAACTACATTACATCATTAAACATTGATTTCAATTTCTTACAGCAGTTAACTTTAATTACATTGACCTGTATTCTAACGCAGATTTTAAACTTGTCCAGTTATTAGAACGGATTTCTACTTGCTTGCGTTATTCCAAATACGACCATGCTGTATTTCAGACCCTCTATGCTTAATGTTGAGCTAGGCCGCACTTATACACAGTTAGCTCTGCGGATGAACCGGCTAACTTGACTCTTTGCTCCCTCCAGTCTCACCGTAAATGTTCGGGTCCCCGCCACGGGTCCCTGGGCTTCTTGCCCCGCAAGAGGAGCCGTCATCGTGGTAAGGCGAAGAGCTTCCCCAAGGATGACCCCACCAAGCCCGTGCACCTGACCGCCTTCCTGGGCTACAAGGCCGGCATGACCCACGTCGTCCGCGAGGTCGACCGACCTGGCTCAAGTGAGTGGACTGAGTTTAATTTTAAATGAATTTGCAACTAACTATTATAGATCAATTGTTTGGGCGAAAACAGCCCAGTTTCTGAAAAACAATTGAGATGTCTGTCAGTCCAAAGATTCAGCTGTGATGTAGAAATGGACATTTCCTAATGGAATAGGAGAAAAAAAGCTTTCTGCCCATTGCATAAAATACTCTACTGTGATGACCTCAATACTGCCTGTGATGATCCCCTCGACGGGCGGACATAATGGGTCTTATACCCCTTGCTGAATGTCGAGCACTGAGCGCAGTCTATACCATATCATAAATACTACAGCTGTCATAAGTCGAGGAAAGTTCTTCATATCTAAACTATTGTTTTCTATTGCAGAGGTGAACAAGAAGGAAGTGGTTGAGGCTGTGACCATTCTTGAGACCCCTCCCTTGATTGTTGTTGGTTACGTCAGCACACCCCTTGGCCTGCGTTCCTTCAAGACTATCTTCGCTGAGCACCTCAGTGAAGAGTGCAAGCGTCGATTCTACAGGAACTGGTGAGTTGCTACAATACATTTAAATGCCTCATTGAAGCAGTTAGTTGCCCAGTGAAAATGATAGACCTGTGTTTTCACTGAGTGAGTCAAACATTGCGGTGCCTCCTGTGGCAGCTCCGCTCAGGTGACATGTGCCCTGATGAGCTCCGGGCTCCTCTGGCCAGTGGAAAGTGCTTCTTAGAAACTGTGCCATGAGCTGAAATCCTTATTGGCTGAGAATGCACCCCTTTCCACATGGATTGGGATGGCAAGCAGCTATGCACTGTGTTCTTCCGCTGGCCCTCTTGGGTTGTGAAGAACCTGTGCAACCTCTGTGTCTCCTCCTGTGGGGTCTCAGGTACAAGTCCAAGAAGAAGGCCTTCACCAAATACTGCAAGAAATGGCAGGATGATGGGGGCAAGAAGCAGCTGGAGAAGGACTTTGGTTCAGTGTTTCCCATACATTGATTTATTTTTTGGTGGTGGTCTAATGGATAGTGAGGTGGGCTGATGATCGGAAGGTTGCGAGTTCAAATCCTGCCTGGAACACCACTTGCCCTTGAGTAAGAGAATGTCCCTGTAATTGGTCATTGTAAGTCGCTTTGGAATAAGGCTTCTGCTAAATTGTAAATGATATTTTTGGGAGAATAAACCCCACAGATCCTCAACTCCGGTGTGTCTCACTCATTAACAACGCAACACAGAGCAACAAGAACGTTGTCTGCTACAGTAGCCATGAACTCACATGTATTTTGTTATTTGAGGGGGGGGGGGTGGATGCGTGGGCCACCCGAATAGGTTAAGGGGCCTTTGGCTTTTCTTTTTTTGTGCGGTGCCCCACAAATAGAATCAAATTCTGTGGGAAACACTGGTTCCATGAAGAAGTACTGCCAGGTTATCCGCATTGTTGCGACCTGGCTCAAAAGAGACACAACATGTCAACGGGTAGAAAAAGGTGTTTATTTGCATAAACAATTCAAATGAAGTACTGTGTACTCATCAGAGCCTGCAGGAGAGAGACAAGCAGAGGCTCTAAATAGCTGCAGGACACCTGACCCAGGTGCCCTGAGTTACTGCAATCACTGGAGCCAATGCAGCACAGACAGAACAGCCACACCCTTAAGACGGCCCCAAAGGGGTCCACGACAACCCAACATCCTTCTTCTTAACTCCAGCTTTTTACTTTCCGTCTTAGGACTGGAGGACGCTCCTCCTCCGCCGCTGTCTTCAAACTCCTGCCTTGCGATTTCGTACTGCTTCTTCGCCTCCACTGCCTTTATGTCCCACTCCTCCTTGGGTTGGCTGGCATTGAGCCACAGCATGTAGGCGCTCATTGCACACACAGGTTAGTAAAGCTCATGATTACAATGAGGTGTTCATTTTCCTGCTTGTTGGCCTGTCACCATAAATGCATTTTTTTGGACAATGTACTGTCCCAGAAATGACTGGATTAAACGTCATTATCATTTTAAGACCTATTTGTTTTCCACTTTAATACAATGGCATAATAAAACAATTTTTTAAAGACTTTACTTTCTCAAGAATTGTGGTATAATGCAAATCTAAAATATAGGAATCCCCCAATATTGGGCCAAAATGAAAGGTCGATATTGCACGATAAATCCAAGTAATTGTGACGGGCCGACCTGCTTGTCTGTCAGTGATGAGACCACGGATGATTGCACCAGGCATGGTGCCCGATACACATGAGGATACCTTCCAGCTGCCTTCCTTCTGAGACTACAAAGATGTTTCACTTGACATGGAATTATGAATTCCCCGTTCTGACGTGCATTTTATTTGTTCTGTTTAGATGCGCCTGCTGCCCATTGCGCAGAAGAAGTCTCATCTGATGGAGCTGCAGCTGAACGGAGGCAGCATCTCTGACAAGGTGGACTGGGCCCGTGAGAAGCTGGAACAGGCCGTGCCTGTTAACAACGTCTTCACCCAGGACGAGATGATCGATGTTATTGGCATCACCAAGGGTCACGGATACAAGGGTGTCACCAGCCGTTGGCACACAAAGAAGCTTCCTCACAAGACCATCGTGGTCAGCGTAAGTGTTACGTTCCCTTCTAAATCTAGGGGGGTACAAAGGGAAGTAACCACACACAAGGATGACCAAGCACGACAAAAAAAGGAGAGAAAACCGATCTCTTAGTAACGCACCAGTCGTTTAATGACCAAAAAAGAAACACGGGCTCACCAGCCAATTTGCACAGAATTATACAGCATCGATTATAGCACGGAGCTCCCCTCCTATCAAATGGCAACACACAGGTCTGCACACATGCAGCCAGAGGAGGAAAAACGGAGAGCCCACTGCAGTCTTCCTCCGGGCCTATATGGAGGCCCTGATTAGGAATTCGGAGCACCTGGGGAGAGGCTGCACCTGGGGACAATCAGGCTGCACCTGGGGACAATCAGGCTGCACCTGGGGGGAATCAGAGGGCGAGAGAGAGAAACACACATACACGACCACACAAACACTACGGCACGTAACCCTTCCCCCCCCATAAAACCAAACCAGTGTTTGGTCACAGTTACCAACAACACTCATTACATATTTCACAAGCATGCTTGGAAGCTGCCACCTGCTGCTTCCAAGCTACACACTCCGCCACTAAATGACCAGGGTCAAGACAATAAAAACACAATCGCTTAGTGTCGGGACCTGGGAGAGAAACAGAATGAGCACGTGTGACACGTCTGTTACGAGCCCTACAGTGAGGATATTTGCCCTGAGGATACACCTTACCCCCGGCTATATCATTACCCATTATGACATCCACACCGTCGACAGGACATTTGGGGAGCACAGCAACTGGAAAGTAACCAGTAGCCAGTTCAGACTGGACATGGACATTGTGAAGAGGTGCAGGCACAAAACCATTTCAATACCTCTTACCACCATATTCGCATCACAGGCAGACTCATTACTCAAGGGCAGGGCACTCGCAAGAATGAACGACTGTGAGCCACCACTGTCTCGTAACATAGTAACCTGCCGCTGATCCTCCACCTTCCCTGACAGAAAGACAAAAGCAGTGGAGATGAACGGTTTAAAACACTCATCAGGGCCCATTTTAACAGTGACCTGCCTACTAGGACACTCTGTTTTAATCAAGCCCACCCCTTTTGGGTGCTTGTCACCTGCTGCCCGCTCTCGCTTCCAAGCTGCACAGTCTGCTATCACATGACCTGGGTCAAGACAAAAATAACAAGCTCTGTCTATCCTGGGACCTAACAATGGGACTCTGGCACAGGGAACATAATTGTCAGGAGCTCTATTATAAGTGTCCCGCTGAGGAGGATCACGCTGAAAGAAAACGCTCTTGTGTATCAGCGCAAACTCGTCTGCCAGAGTGGCCGCCTGCTGAAGGGTAGTCACTTTCTACTCATTCAGATAGACTACCGTACGCTCCGGTACACAGTTTTTAAACTCCTCCAACATCATCAGCTCACACACTGAAGCAATGTCATCCGCTTTACACGCTCTACACCACCTGTCAAAGAGGGCTTTCTTCTCCCTCGCGAAGTCCACGTACGTTTGGCCAGAAGCTTTCTTCATGCCGCGAAAACGCTGCCTGTAGGCCTCAGGCACAAGCTCATATGCCCTGAGAATAGCACCTTTCACCTTCTCATACACCAAACTATCCTCGACTGAAAGAGAAGAGCAAGCCTCTTGAGCCTTGCCGACTAGCTTGCACTGTAAAAGAATAGCCCACACATTTTCTGGCCAGTGCAGAGCAGCAGCAATGCGCTCAAATGCACCAAAATAGACTTCCACCTCTGATTCACGAAACACAGGGACCAAAGAAATATGCCTGCTCACGTCAAAGGAAGCAGCAGGACCAGAAGGTGTAACTGCAGGATCACCCACCACAGCTGCTTGGAGCTCTATCTGACGCATCCGGACAGCAGTGTCTGCCTCCAGCTCCTGCTTCCTGATCTCCAGCTCCTGCTCCTGCTTCCTGATCTCCAGCTCTTGCTCCTGCTTCCTGATCTCCAGCTCTTGCTCCTGCTTCCTGATCTCCAGCTCTTGCTCCTGCTTCCTGATCTCCAGCTCCCTCCTGAGCTGAAAATCCCTATCTCGCTCCTCCCTCTCACACTGGAGACGAGCCATACGCACTTTTACCCTAGCATCTAATTTAGACCCCGTAGGTGAGGATCCTGCCGAGAACGAGCCAAATTGAGGTGTGGTGAAAAGTTTTGCCCGTTCCGTAGCACTCTGAACACCAGGAGTAACACCAATGCGGCCTCCACCCTGAGATACTGCTGCTACACCCCCGGCCACCGCGCCAGGAGATTCCACTGAAGTAGGCCGACTCAAAACCCCCTGTTCAACTAGTCCAGTTATCAAAGTAGCCTTTAGTTCACTTTTAACAAGAGCAGAGGAGACAAACGTGATAATGTTCAGCAACTAATCGCAAATCAACCTTCCTACAGCAGTCTAGCTGACCCACAGTAGGACTGGCCACAAACTGCTCCCAAACAAAAGCCATCCTTAGCAACGGCTACTTATAAATATATTTATGATTACAATTTATTTATTTATTTTTTTTAAAACTTCCCCAGATCCTGCCTACCAAACTTACCTAACTATCTTCTGGGGCGTGCCGGGCTCGAGGCGACTTTAAAGGCAAACATCAGCGGCCGAAACCCTGAATCGCCTGCCCCCAACAGGGAATAAATCCCCACCCAGGATTACCCCGAAAATAAAAAAGGCAAAATAAAAAGAGTGCCTGAAGGAAGGACTGATTCAGCCCAACTAGACACTCCCCTGTCTAAACTGAGGAAGTCAATGCTACCAAACACAATATCAACACTAAACCACAAACAACTACTCACTATTTTTCTGAAAGATTGGACGAGCCCCCATGTTACGTTCCCTTTCTAAATCTAGGGGGGGTACAAGGGAAGTAACCACACACAAGGATGACCAAGCACGACAAAAAAAGGAGAGAAAAACCGATCTCTTAGTAACGCACCAGTCGTTTAAATGACCAAAAAAAGAAACACGGGCTCACCAGCCAATTTGCACAGAATTATACAGCATCGATTATAGCACGGAGCTCCCCTCCTATCAAATGGCAACACACAGGTCTGCACACATGCAGCCAGAGGAGGAAAAAACAGAGAGCCCACTGCAGTCTTCCTCCGGGCCTATATGGAGGCCCTGATTAGGAATTCGGAGCACCTGGGGAGAGGCTGCCACCTGGGGACAATCAGGCTGCACCTGCGGAATCAGAGGGAGAGAGAGAGAAACACACATACACACGACCACACAAACACTACGGCACGTAACAGTAAGGTTGCCTGTATTGGTGCCTGGCATCCTTCCCGTGTTGCCTTCTCTGTGGCCCGTGCTGGTCAGAAGGGTACCACCACCCGCTAGGGATGCATAATCGTTGACTTTTTTACGATACCGATACCACTGAACGATACGATACATATCGTGATACTTTGAAAATGTATCATCCCACAATTAGTCCCATGAAGCGCTTTACGATATAGTGAACATGTCAAATGAATATTCAATTGTGGGATGTTACGGTTGCTGTTTGTCTGCTCCTTAATCTGTCTGGGATTGTTTGCAGCTGTGTGCGTGTGATTATGCAAATGAGCTGTGTGGTAGCCCCAACATCATTGGCTGCCCATCTCCTGGTCCGCCTCTGAAGATGGTGATTGGATCGACGTCGTCCAATCGCAGCGCACAGCCGGCGTACACCTGCTGGGGAGGAGTATAAAGGCTGCAGACTATCACCACTCTGGAGGCTCTGACATGTGGACAGACGCCTCTCGCTACTTGCTCTTATAGAATTCTGTTAACTGTGGTTAAACTTGTGTGATTAGTAGTGTCTAGAGTAGCTTAGTTATTGTTTAGAGTAGCTTAGGATTTTGTGACTGTTGCCTTTTAGTTTAGCTGTGTTTTGTATATATTTCCTGTGTTAGTCTGTACCACTTTAAAGTGAGGTTTTGTTTCGTTCTTTATTTAGCATATCAGTATTTATTTTCCCTGTATGCCTTGACTCTTGAGTCCTCCCTTAGTTCAGTTATCTGTCAACCTGTGCCCTTTTGGCCCTTTTGTTTGTTTCAGGCTGCACGCCTTCCATTTTGTTTACCGCTGCTATTATAAATAAATCACTTATAATTATACCAATTCTACTCTGGTCGTGTCGTTTCCCTTTTGTTCCCCTAGCCAATTGGGAACGTAACATTGGACTTCTTGGACCTTTTAGTACTGAATAAAAAATATGAAGAAAACCGATTATGGAATATCTTTTATAACATCCGCCATCAGGTGTGAATAGCACATCTTGTCAATGCAAACAGACCGTTATAGCACCGTTATAATTAATGTTAAACCTGAGATTCGACTAGAGAACAAATACATAATAGAATAATGGTCATGAGATCTCGGCATTGCACAAACAAATCTCATCTTTAAAATCAACATTTACCTTCACTGGTGAGAGAAAACAAATCCCATCACAGTTCAAAGTATCGAAACCGGATCTGATTTCGGTACGGTATACCGTAGCCACCATTAACCGGTATTTTGGTAATACCGGATACCGGTATGCATCCCTAACCACCGCACAGATCTACAAGATTGGCCTGGGCTTCCACACCAAGGATGGCAAGCTGGTGGAGAACAATGCTTCCACAGAGTATGATCTGTCAAACAAGAGCATCAACCCTCTGGTGAGTGACAGTCATGGGAATTGTCCTGTTGAAGTCCTCTTGCCTGGAAGCAGAAGATGTGACTCACTTTATTTATAGTTAAGTCATTCCCTTTTTAAAAAGACCTATTCTACAATAATCCTGATGTCAAATCTGGTTTGAATGTATATCCCGGGGAAACCCTCACAAGAAACACCGGCTGTTGTTATGCCTGCTGTGACGTTAAGCTGCCGCTTGTAATTATGCCTTTACAAGTTTAAAAGCTGTAATTATCATCTGAATTTGGCGAAACAAGTTTAATGTTCTAAAAACCAGGACTTTGTTTATTTGAAATCAGATGAAAACAAACTGTCACGGACCCTGCCGTGTTATCTATGATTACTATACGCTGTTCATTCATAATTTCAGCGGGAGGCGGCGCTGAGGAACAGCAGAGTGCGGGTTGACGGGGGTCTGTGTGGACACTCCCCTTATTGTGCGTCAGCAGAGGCTACAAGTGTCTTAGGTTCAAGTTAGACAACTAATGTCTGGGTTAGTGTTCATGACTTCATGTTTATGTCATCTTAATGGTTCATCTCAATGTCCACACATTTTCCGTGCTTTCCAATAGTTTTATTCCACTGTTAAATAACCTGTTCAATCCAAAGATGCCACTTGTAAAAAAAAAAAAGAACATATCTTTGAACTGATATTTGTTTAGTGAGCTTATTAGAGGATGTTCCCTGAAAGATTGTAAAATGTCAATGAAGATGTCAGACTTAGTATATTTGTTAATAATTACATACAATACATGGAATGTGTGTCTGTGTTCCAAGTGAATCTGCGGCCACCCGGTGGCCAGTACACATTATGTGGCCCCACCACCATCCAAGTTGCCCATCCCTGTTCTAAAGTATAGCCAAACAATTGATGGTCTTTCTTTTTATCTCACAGGGACCACTCAAGAAGGACCGTATCACCAAGGAAGAGACTGCTTGAAGTCCTCTACCGTCTGTGCTGCTTTGACTGTCGCCATCATTCCTGTACTGCAGCTATTTAATAAAAAACAAACTCAAAGATTGTTTCATATCCTTCTTGTAAAACATTATACTGACAAAGATGTGTACATAACTTATTGCAAAACACAAGATGTGTATGTACACTGAACACAAATATAAATGCAACACTTTTGTTTTTGCTCCCATTTTTCATGAGATGAACTCAAAGATCTAGAACATTTTCTGTATCCTCCTGGGACCCAGCCAATTGAAAAAGTCCACTGTAGTGGGCATTTTGTTAACATGCATCTCCTTTTACTCTTTTGAGCTACTCTCAATCCCTGATGTGCTGTACATCCTGGTCTTTCCAGTGATGTCACTGGTTAAAATTGCATGCTGGGAAGTTCCTCTTTCTTTTCATCCAAAATGGCTGGCATACAAAAAACAAAATTGTATAGAAGTAGGAGGAGAAGTCAAATATTGTTGAATAATTGTAATTTTTACCATGAAAATCATATATGTTTATTAACATGTGAGGAACTATATAATTAGTTCTGAAAGCAATTAAATAATTCAAGTTTTCAAATAACAGCCCTTTTATAAATGTCCATTCTAGTGGACGTCAGGACCGTCTTCATGGGCTTTATGACTCAATATTGTTGCAGGAGACGGAACTGAAGCAGACATTTTCTGTACCAGAAAGTTCAGGGAGATTCAGATGTTGAGCTCTCAGATGATGAGAGAGATGAGGCTTTCACACCTGGGGTAGAAGAGGGTCAAGAAGAAGGGGGGGAAAGATGCAGGGGGCTCCATGAGCGCACAGATAGATACAGATAGGGACGAGCTGGAAAGACATGGCCCCCTGTGGGCCAAGAGTAGCACGTATGTCTTATTGTTGTTTTTATTTTAAGTGGAGCCATGAACAATGAGAATTGCCTCAGGAATGCAAGCTTTGTTTCTATGAGCAGGTCAAATGGAGACCACATCCATAAAACTAGTCAAGATTACCCTACAGCCCGTGCTGACTGGAGTCAATGAGGTACTGTCCCAGTACATTGACTACAAAGTCTTTGAAGATCTGGAAAGATTCACCGAAAAACAAGCTAGTTTTGTATTGACCAAATAAACAGCAATGTTCAGATCAATTACTTATTCATGTTTTAAATAAAGGTGAATGTATTATTGTATTAATATCACTCTATAACCATAATACGTTACATAGTCCATCTGTTAATTTTGGCTGTCTTTTCAAACTAATATGGCCCGACGTCCGCTACAGTGGACATACTGAAAACTCATCTCTTTTGACTCCACTTCGAGCGATAGAACTATTAACAAAGCACTTATATACTAATAAAGGACTGGCTTATCTAAGCCAGTTGAGTAGCACTATGAAATGTTTTTGCTCTATGAACCTGATGTACTTATATGATTCTGTTTTCTTCAAGTTTGTATTTTGTTGGTCGAACGCACTTATTGTAAGTCGCTTTGGATAAAAGCGTCAGCTAAATGTAATACTGTAACATTTTAAAATAAAATAAAAGTCTAAATTGCAAGATGTCTTTTAACCCTAAATAGGTAGGAAATCACAAACAAAAAAAAGGAAATTGGAAGACACTTTTTTCCTCGGTTCACAAAATAACCATTTCTCTCAAATATTGTTCACAAATCTGAAAGAATCTGTGATAGTGAAGCACTTCTCCTTTGCCGAGATAATCCATCCCACCTCACAGGTGTGGCATATCAAGATGCTGATAGAACAGCTGATTATTGCACAGGTGTGCCTTAGGCTGGCCACAATAAAAGGCTCCAGAGGGAGAAGGAGAGGAACCTGCAACACAAACACACGTCAATTATATTGCCCACAATCTGCACACAAAGAAAACTATTGACAGGAAACTAAAACTAAAAAAACACTAGAGGACAGTAGTCTTTTTAAAAATCAAACGCAACATAATAGTTGCCAGCTCCAACACCAATTCAATATAACATTAAAAGAAGGTTAAAATCCAGGCTTTCTTTGACAGAGTAATAGATCCTCCTGGCTCCATCCAGGAGGGGAAACGCTCATACTCAGCTCTATGGATTAAACACAAAAACAGATGTTATAAAGAATAATAAAAGATAGAAGAAAGTTAACAAATGTCCATAGCTAGTTTCCCGGGTTGCTCGGCTGGTTATGAGCACTGCTACACTCTGCAAAACACGTACAAGTTGCTTAAAAACGATTACAACTTTGAGTAAAACACCATATTAAAAACACATTGCTTGTAACAGATCAGGTCTCGTGCTTTGAATGTCTGAAGAGTTTCCCTCCATGATGGGAAAACGTATCTTGCCCTCGCCCTAATCAAATCCAAACTGAGACACTTCCATAGGTTCATTGAAAAGACCATAAAACCACCTTAAACCCGCGAGTCCTACCTTGAGGGAGATAACGGCGCGCGCGTAGCAAAGATAAAGGTTTTCTGAAACTGCCGGCAAACTTTTATAACATTACCGGTCACCGGTCATGTGATCACGTCACGTGACAATGACGTCATATTCCCACACATATATAAAGAAGCAGCCTGTCACTTGAAGCTTCACAATCGCCATCCCCCTATTGTCCAACGGTTCAGTGTAACTTTAACAGACAGAGACGGTGACATCATCATCATGCTGGTTTTCTTCTTCCTGTTGGGCCTGGCTCTGGGTGCTGTGTCTTCTTCAGATTACCCTCCAATGGAGCCAACAAGACACCTGTCCAGGCCCGGTTCCAGAACAAAATGACTCAGGGTGCATCTGAGATTAGAGAGGGTGCAGTGGTAAAGTGCTATTTTTAGAAGTGGGGAGTGGACCTAACACCCTCTAGGGGGGTCCTCACCTCCTCTAAGGAGGTCCGGGGGCATGCTCCCCCGGGAAGATTTGTTTTTAAATATTGAAGTTAAAAGCATCAATCTGGTGCACTTTGAGAGCAAAATGAAGAGATCTATGGATCTATGTGCTCTTTGCTTGATTCATGCTTTCCCAGTCCCTTATCACGTAGCCTATAAGAGCATGGCGCCAGTTGTTGTAGCCAGTTGTGGTGAAGGCATCTGACTTACTTAAACCGAAATGTCTACATGCATAGCAGAAGATGGCATCTTTTTTACATGAATATTCCAGCCAATCTCTGTTTTGAAACCATGAGCTGCAAAATGAGCACCTCACCCCACTGTACAGGTGAGTTAGGTACTTTTTTTAAATATACCTGGGCAGGCTCTGTTTTGCCGAGGTCCTCTGGCACTTGCGGGCCGCTGAGGGGTGGCGGTGTTTGGGGCAACGAAGATGGCTGCGGCTGCTCCGCCTACGTGGGCGAGGCGGGCAAAGCCGGCAAGTCGGGCGGAAGGAAGTTACTGTCCACGACAGTGGCCGCGGGTAACGTAATGTCCCCATGATCTGAACTGTTATTACCTGCAGTAGATGCAGTGTTACTGCTGGCGATAAGTGCTGGTTGTTTCAACCATTTTCTGATGTCCATCACTGACTGCTGTGTAAGCACCTTGCAGATGACAACGCGCAGCGGCACAGGTCACGCGCACCTGACATAATAACGTTACTTACCATTTAAATTGACCAAATGCAGCAGACAATGTTATTTAACCACAATTACAATTATTTTATTTCAACTAAATTCTTTCTTATTATTATTATTATATATGTAATATTTTTCACTATTTTTTTCACTTTTCATTTTCAAATGAGGGTGCATAACGACTCAACTGAGTCAATGCACCCTTATGCACCCCCGTAGAACCGGGCCTGCACCTGTCCCTCTTCTGGTTCTCCTTCAACGGCCGCTGCTACAAGTACTTCAACACAGAGAGGACCTGGGCTGATGCAGAGCTCTACTGTGTGTCCCAGGGAGCAGTGGTGTAGTGGGGATTTTTTACTGGGGGGACGCTATTTTAATTAGGTAATCCCAAACAATGCCACACAAGTGCGCATGCGCGCAGTGCACTCACAAAACGGGCAGACAGGTCCACAGAAACTACCGGTATGCTTAGTCCTACTTTAGTTAGGCGCTCAACACACACACAGACTCAAAACCATGGACACACTGGCACATAAATTACATACATAATGTATAGTCCTAAATTGCATAAACTCTCTCTCTCTCTCTCTCTCTCTCCTCTCTCTCCTCTCTCTCTCTCTCCAGAGAGAGAGAGAGAGAGAGAGAGAGA